CAATATTTAGGCATTGGATATAAAAATTCATAATATATTTACCACTCAATTCCTTTATATATCTAAAACTGAAATTTATATATATGTAAATAATGAAAATTTCATGCATGCCCCCCTCAATTCTTATGTATTTACATATCTAACACCTATATTTCAATTTTGGCACACACATGTATAGACCACATTATCTATGTATAAAAAAGTGTATTACAATTAATTTAAGTGTTAGACAAGTAAATACACACATAAGAATTATTTAAAGCATGCGAATGGAAAGATTCCCTAAGTTACAGCTTATTTTTACAGGTGAAAATTGATGGATGTTGACCTCCAAATATGAAATGTGAAAGTTTATTTATTTATTTATTTAAATTGTCGAAGTTTAATAAAATTTAGGATTTGTTTGGGGCAGCTATAATTTATTGAATAATCTGCTGATAAGTTGATTAAAAATAATCTGATGATAAGTTAGGTATGGTGACTATTACAAGTTTTTATTTTTTTTAGAAAAATCAGACTGTTGCCGGAAAATTGTCACCGCACCTTGATAGGTGCGGTGTGAAAACGCTGTTTTTGGAGTTTTGAAAACACATAAGCTGTCAAAACGCAATTTACTTAAACATGTCATGTATGTTTTCAAAATGCCGCGGCACAAAATGACCAAACGGACCATTATTTACTCATACATATCACTGGAAGCTTAGCTATTTATAAAATTAACCTCCACTTTCATCTGTTAATGTTTTTCATTTTTACCGAACTAAAATAATTTGATAGTTCCAAAAAATAAAATATAAAATAAAAAACCTGAATGCTAAACCTTAATGCTAGTTAGTGCTGTGCATATGAGGAGATACAAACATATCCCTAAATTCCTATGTATTTAAATTTCTATCTAACACATAAATACCGCCTTACTTATGACATGAAAGTAGGGGTGTAAACGAGCCGAACACAAGCAAGTCCAAGCTCAGTTTGCATTCTGCTCGTATATATTTCGAGCTCAAAAAGTGTTTTTGTGCTCGGCCCGCTTGCTTAATGAGTCAAACATGAGTCGTTCACGAACAAATAGTTGTTTTGACAACTCTAATTATGTAGTCATAAGATATTAAGGATTTGGGCAAGATTTAAAAATTATTATTTATATTAAAGCATTACTTGAATCTAATTTAATAATTTTTATTCTATTTTCTTAATTAATACTTTTAATTGATTATAAATTTTTTAGCATTGCCGTTATTAAATATTTTAAAAATACAACCCATCAATATATAT